GCCGGTTCCCTCCAGTTGGAAGCTGACCTTAGTAACCCCTAGGCCATCCTGCTGCCCCCTCCTCATTCCCTCACCACCCCTCATCCTTGCCTGTGACCTTCACCTAGCTTTCCCACCCTACAGATGAGGCCCCATGTAACTGCATTTCAAGTAATTTATTGAACTGTCATGAAGTTCCCATAGCTTTACTTTCTATCTATTATAAAGAAAACAAGATGCTCAAAACACCTTATTAGGCAAGCTTTTTATTCAAATTTAAATGTAAAAAAAGGATCTGCATTCTTGTTTGAATTCAAAATTCTCAGTATTAGCACAGCAAATGATGCCTTGCTTTGTGTGTTCCTAAATTAACAATCCAACTATCTGTTCGCTCACTTTTTAAAACGTAATTGTAATGTTAGCTTGTCACTTAAGCGAAGCAGTTGTGCAATTTAATAGAACACAAAAGATTTACAATTGGTGGGGAGCGAAAAGCAGACAGGAAAGAGAAAAAGATGGGAAGAGTTGGGAGCATTCCGCTAGTTGAACATTTTACAAGTCATCACTTTATCGTCATCATGGTCTATTAATATCTCTCTATGCTGCTTGCATTATTTTTCCATGCAGTTTTATTATCAATCAATTTCCTGAATGAGAGGACATTTCAAAGACTCGCTATGCTTGTCAATGTATAATCTAATATCTTTAAAAAATTGTTTGCCTTGTTCCTCATAGAAATGGTTTAGGGGCAAAACTTGTGTGAACATATGTTTGTATTCATTCAAACTAGATTTTATTTTAAAGTGACCTGCATCTTATAAACTTTGACTAAAAATTACAAGCAAATAACATATCTAATGGCAGACATTTTGAGTTGTCATAGCAGGAGAAGAAGAGGTGGAACAGATAATGTTTATGGTTGCTAATGTCTGTAAGTATCTCACTAATCCTTTCCAGTGAGCCAGCATGCACAATACTTGGAGACATGGGAACACTAAATGAAATGTCTGAAGAGTCTTTGTTAATGTTATTAATTACACCAGTGCATATCCTGCTTGTCAAAACATGTCAAAATGCCTGCCATGAAAATGTTCTATTGTCTTTATGAACAATTCCAGACATGCTTTATGAAGGCTTATGTGATGCATTACAAGCTTCATAGAAAAAAAACAGTTAAGTTGAGTTTTGAGTTTGTGTCTAATTATACTACACTGTTTTCACCTGTCTTCCACATATTACTTATATTCAACATTCTTAAATTCATCTTTGCCATCATCTAATCCCTAATTGCTCCAATCTATTTTGTTTTTCTGTACTTTCCCCTCATATGACAAAGAAAAACACTATTTCCATCCTTCTGTTTGACATTAACAACCTTACAAATGGACTGTAGTGCCACCACATATGGAAGCTGTTTGGCACAAAATATTTTCAAACTTGTTTCATTTATGTTCTAACTTTTGTGTGGACATTTTTACTTTTTTTTTAAACTTTTATCTTGATCCCCAAGATAAAAAAAATGCTGTGTTTTAGTGATTAAGCTGACTTTCTCGTCCCTGGAAAAAAGGATGAGAAACACAGGGGGAAAGAGAGAGTGAGCAAGAAAGAGAAAGAAAACAGCAGGATTCATATCACATTTCTCCTCAGCGTGACTCCCTGATATCTGTTGGCCTTTCCAGCCCTCTCAAAGGCACCCTCCATCAGCATCCTTCCATCATCCCCTACTTCTTCTTTCTCAAGCTCAGGTTTTATCTGCTTCTGCTCCCTCCGATTTCAGTCAGTGGAAATTAGAGTAGAGCACAAACCAGCATGCAGCAGGGAGAAAGGAAGATAAAGAGAAAAGGAAAAAAGAAAGAAAGAAGATGGGACAGAGAGGAAGAGAGTAAGCATGAAGACAGGGATAATAAAAGCAGTATGGGGGCCATAGCTTCTAGCTGTGTCTGTGAAACAGCAGGAAACAAAGAGGAGAAAACAGCTTAAGGAGTTTAGGTTTTCACACAGATAAATAGATAAACAGTGCATACACACTGTGCATTCACTAGACACAGACCTACAGTAGGTTTATGTGATTCACCAGAACCATGTTGCATAATGTATATAGTAATCTTTTATAATCCCATTGTCTTTTGTTCAAGGTGATGGTGGTGAAGTCATGATGCAATTCTTTTTTATAATATCACTATTGGACTTGGCATGACATGATAACTTTAGCTAATAGAAAAACAGAATCCATATCAAAATAATACAGTTGCAGCAAACTTTTTTTATTACAAATTCAAATATATTTATAACAACGAGTAACAATAAAGAAAACGCGAAGCACCATTTTCCTGGAAAATGCTCCATTTCCAGGGATCTTCAAACCTCAAGAGCTCTAAATATCGCATAATGCCTGAATGTGTTTTTTTTTTTCATTATATTTTTATGTGTATATCTGTATGGATTATGGTGTGCTTAAGAGATTAAATGTCCTGGAGCAGTACAAAGGAGCAAGCAGCCAATCTTTTTTTTTAAGTGACATTATGCTGGCTTTGTACAATAGAAATTAAGCATAAATTAAAGCACATATTAAGCAGCCCAAACATTTAAAAGATATACGGTTTAAACCAGGCCTGATGGTTTTCAACTCAGATAGATAACTGGAAAATGAAATTATAAAACTTAAGTTTTGTACAAAATGAGACGGTTAATGTGGCTGCAAGACAACCATCAAAACTAATGTCAAGAATAAATTGGACTTGACGATCTAAATACACAGATTGTTTGTCAGTTATATGGCTGAATGGGTGATCCTAATCCTTGAAAGACCTCATGGTGGCCATCACATACATATGAGTATGAGCCTAAATCCATGGGTCGTTAATTAAACAGAATTTCCTCTCAATAACACACTGTCTGGAATCCAGCAGCTAGCAAATGAACGGCTGATGGGAGACTAATAAATGACTAGCAGCTGCGCATGATGTCAGTATTGAACACTGAGGGATGGGAGGAGAAAAGTGAAAAGACAGAATGGACGGATAAGAATGGATGCTTATTTTAGATACACATATAGGTCGTAAGTAGGTTACCTGTTTTGCTTATTGTAGATACACATAAGGTGTCAGTTTAACCTGGGTAACTTCTATTATGGCCAGGTAAAATGCCTGGGTTACGTTACTGTAGCACATAAACACTGAAACACCAACATATGAATGAACAGAAGAGATGATTACATGAGAGACAGAGAAGGAATAGAAAATGGAGAAAACGTTAAAGAAAAAAATAAGTAAGGGCAATGATTAAATATTCAGATGTAGTAGAAGATGTAGTACAAAGAGAAACCAGGGAGAGAGATGAAAACTATTCAAAAGAAATACGACATCAAGTTATACAGAGTTTAAGACAGTTATTAAGGGGTTACATAGACATTATTTTTTCTCTCTTCTATTCTCTGCCACTGTATGCATCTCTCTGTGTGTGTTTCTATTTCTGTACCTGTTGTTTCACTTCTCTCATGTTTACTTCTCGCAGGTTTTGTTGTATTTATTTGCCTCTTCCTTGACTATTCATGTGTGACAGCTGAATCAGGGGAAACATCAAACTGTACTGCTCAGTTGCTTCAGTCTCTGTCTTGGGTTTAGCACAGTAGCAGACACACTCAGCAACCAACACACCAAAGAACACACACACACACACACACACACACACACACACACACACACACACACACACATATATATACACAACACAATGTTTGGCTCCAGGGTCTGCTTTGTATTACAAGGGGAAATCTTTGGTGGGCAAGTCGGTGTGTCAACTTGAGTTGAAAAGTTATGCTTCCTAACAATTGCAATGCAATATACACACTGACAAATATCAAAGAGTGAGGACATAAAATATATACTATCTATTTTGCTCACTTGCCTCAAGAAAAAAACCAAGGCAATTCAAACCCCCACCATGCTGATTTGTGCTACTGTAGACCACTCTGTGTATTTCATTCAGCATGCACTATATATCAGGAGTTTTCAACCTGTGTTTAATCACTCGCTCTGGGGACTCAGGTTCATTAACAAGCAGGTTGAGACCCATAAGCTCAGCTCATGTCAACCTTAAGTCTAAGAAACCAGGTTGTGTACGTCTTTGTCTTCCTGCCAAAGCACAACAGCATGATTCATCATTACCTAGCCAGCAGAGTAATACTGTGTGCTGTCAAGTGACAAGTGTAGAAGTTTGGCTGCAGTCCAGTACATCACTGTGGATCCCATTAAACTGTCCTGTGAACATCGACAGTACAGCACTGGTAGAGGGACAGCTGCGTATACACGCCTGACATGTGACCCAGCCTTCAGCACAAATAACTAAACAGCTGAATAATAGGTTTAACCTGTTTGCTTACAGTGCACCAATGAGACAAACTGGGAAAAAAGTTGGCCATGTCTCCTGGATAGTGACATTTTTATATCACACAGAGCGAAATATCATCCGTGTCTAGCACATAGGAAGTACGCAGTAAAGAGGGGAAAAATAAGGAGTTGATTTACACCTGTGCACCTTTGATATGTTAAAGTACGTTTTAATGTGCCTGCTCACTGGGAGACATACAGTACAAACAGTCTGGGAAGCAACATCTGTTGTAGAAATAAATTCAAAGTGCCAACACTGGCAATGCATGAATGCTATGTTCTCACCCAGAAAACCTTTTTTACTCTTGTTGAGTTGAGTTGAACTGTGTTTTTTTTTTTTTAAAGGAAAACTGTTCTCCTGTGTGTGAACTGACATGCAACAGTATTTAACATGTCATAGGCTTCTTTTACCATGACTGTTTTCTGTCAAAAATGTCTCGACTTAAACATAAAGTTTGACAGTCCCTGTACTGAATACTTTCCCTACATCCCCACAGTTTACATTTCATGTCTTTTCCCAAACGTTTTTCACAGTATGATCTTATCCGTCCACTTCCTACTGCACTTCTAAGTAAATCTCTGTTTTGATCTGTGTATATGTTTGTGTGTATGTGACTGCTAGACTTCACTCACCTGAGTTTTCGTCCACCCTCTCTTCCACAGTATGGTCTTTCTGATGGACCCACTCACTGTTGCACTTGAAATAAATCTGCGTGGCAGGCGTTGCTTTGCAGTAGAGATTGACAGGTTTATTCTTGACAATGTATCCTTCCTCAGGTTCGAATAGGAAGTGAGGCAAGGGCTCCGGTGGGTCGGAAGGGAAGGTTTCCGGGAGTTCGCTCAAACTCAGGAAATCGTCATCATCTCTCACTGTGGGGAGAGGAAAAGAGAAAGGTTCAATTTATGACAGTCACTGCTATTCAGTAGAGATTTTTTTTTTCGCAGCTCCATCAGTCTTTGTTTAATTGACTCCTTTTGAGGCCTAACAGGGACAGAAGTTGGTTCAGGGAGGAAGTGCTGCATTCTTTCAATCGTTCATTATCGTTTTGTGATTCACATCAGTGAGCAGCATTGTCCCCTAAACTGAGTGTGTGAAAGACAATGTCGTTCCCATTTGATCACTAATAATTGCCATGTCTCAAACCGGTGACCTGGACAGAGAACAATTTTCCTCCACTGAGCCATAAAATGCTCCTCTAATCAGCACCTGACTGTTGTGTCCATTTGTGGAAACCTTTTGGCCATCAGTCAGTTTAGTAAGAAAAAGATACAGATTTTTGCGTCTCTGCAATCCTACACAGTGAAGGGTGTTATGGGTAGCCATAGGTTGTAGAGGCTTAATGAGCAGCCAATGCACAAACCCTAATTTAAAAAACGCATTTTGCAACCCTTCCTGGACACACAAACAAAAATGCACACTTAACAGCAAGACTTATAAAGAATTCGGTCTAGACCTGCTCTATTTGAGAAGTGTCCTGAGATAACTTGTTATGAATTGGCGCTATACAAATAAAATTGAATTTAATTGAATTGAACTACTTAAAAAAATGTTTATTCACTTTGTGTGAGTTTAAGTTCACATGCATAAAATCTCAAAAGACACTTACTGAGAACACAAGTGGGGTTTAAAAACATATACATATAAATGCTGCTAGATAATGAAGGCTTCAAACTATACACACACACACACACACACACACACACACACCACTATCTCACCATTGTAAGTCTCATAAATAGATCATAAGGTCACACCATAAAGTGGCACAGTGAAAGTCACTTGCACTTCTTTGGTAGTATTTGGTTCTAAAAACTTGCAGCTAGTTGGTAAACTACTCGCAGGGCTAGCACACTTGTCAGTCACAATTGCACTTTGAGCTTCTTTCTATTTTCTCTGTCCTGGGCCGCTTAGTCCCCCCATTTTGTTCTCAGAACTGTACAACATTTCATAGAGTTAATGGAGGGAGAAGAAACTTGCTGCCAGTTAGCCTGATAACTAATGTTACAATAAGTTTACACAATATATTTAAAAGATGTCAGCCTATTTGTTCTATTGACTCCTGCCTCATAACTGTCTGCAAACCATCCATCTTTTGTGGAGCATTTCATAGCATACTTTGACAGGTGTGGCTACAAAAAAAATGTGGACAGAATAAATTAGCTATGATAGCTTTTGCCATTTTAGAAATCTCTGACTCATTGTTTCCTGAAAGGTCAGTGCTGCCAGGATGGCTTGCTATTGGTCAACAGTGCTAATTTAGGGGTGAATGTTGACAAAAGTTCAACGTGAAGAAAGAGCTTGTAGGCCTACTAATTTACTTTGCCCTAGCGAGTCAACTCATTAACCCTACGATTCATTGAAATTAATTGTTTTTGCTGAGAAAACACAAAGTAATCCTAATCATAAGGCATTCGATTAAAATGCTTTTAACCAATATTTTCTGCATATAGGACAGTAGAGAATGAATTGAGCAGGAGAAGTAGCCTACGGACAGACAGACTGGAAGAAATAACTGAACAGAGTGCTCATTTGGCCAATCCTGAGGCCACCAAGAACTTTATCCTCCTCCTCCTCCATCCTGCTCTCTCTCCTCCACTGTCTTTTCAGTCTGTCCAACTTCACGCCCACCCGTGGCCTCAATCAAAGGGACCCCAAGAATGTTTTGTCACCAGGTTGCCGAGGTCACCAAAACACAGAGGATTACAAGAGCAGGTGGGAGGGAGGGGAAGAGAACTTTCTTTCTTTTTTCTTTCTTTCTGATAGACACACATGCACACAAACACAAAGTACATTTTCTTCTAACTTGTAATTTCCGTCCACTCCATCATCATTCAGTTTCTTTAGGACTGTCTGGACCTTTCCTGTGTGTGTGTGTGTGTCTGTGTGTGTGTGTGTGTGTGTGTGTGCTCCTGTGTGTGATTGCCTCACCTGGAGAGCTGTGACTCACAGGAAAATTGTAACACACGGGGCATTTTTGACACAGCTTCAAGGTTCAAACCCTTTTTTTTTTATCCCTAATGTGTCATGGTTACAGTCACACATAAACGCCGCTAACAAAAACAAACACACAATAGACAAAAAAAGGCAACACATAATTGCGCATTTATACGCCTGTGCACACATACACAATCTTACATCCCTGTGCCCTAACTGTGTGTGCGTGTGTGTGTAGTTGTGGTCCTTATCTTGGAGAATAGCAGTGTGCTGTGGGCTAGAAGCTAAAAGCAGCTTAGGTAAAACAACAAGACACAAATAAGGGAAAAATGAGTAGGCAGTGTGCCCACTTTGATGTCATGAAGCTGACATTTTCTCTCTTAGTTCTGTAATTAGTTCTCTGAGAGTATGGAAATTGGTAGACATTTTCACTGCATAATTTCATTATCTGTGGGAAATTTTCTCCCACACTTGGTTATTTATCCAGTGTCATATTCATCCTGTTCTAAGTCAGCCTCTTTCTCACTTGCTGCACTGCCTCCCCTCTTTCATTGCCATTTCTTGTGACTTTATGTGTCTCCACCACTCTGCTCTCCTCCTACCGCTCCCGCTTTTCACTTTGCCCCAACACCCATTCTCACCCTCATCTGTCATTCAGAAAGCTGGGGGTTTGGGGGGGGGGGGTTCATTGCTCTGGAGCGACAGCTATAAAATATTGATTGGCACAAGAAACATGATAGCCAGAGAAAAGGGTGGGTGGAATTGAGAAAAGGGGAGGGATGGAGAGAAAATGTTCCATGAATAAAAGCTTTCTTCATAAATGCCTATTATTTTCTCTCTTCTGTGCCATCCTTGCTTCTGTGGTTTTCCACACCTTACACTTTTTGTTTCCCATCTGTTTTCCTCTTCCCCCTTCCTAAACCTTCTTCCTTCCTGTTTTCTCCTGCTCTTTGCCCCCACTCCTCTCTCCTTATCTCCTGACAGAGTGAATTACTGATCCTAACAGCCCAGCTCATAAACGTCTTGCCTGAATGCTGTCATCAATAATGGATGGCTGTAGCAGAACAATGTCCAGATTCGATTTATGGTATGCAGTAAATATGTACCGGGGGCAAAAAACACATTTATTCCCTTGCTCGGGCCTGTAGACTTGCCCACTTTAGAAAACCTACAAACCCAACCAATAAATGTCCGTAAATCTGCTAGGAATGTTGTCATCAGAGATGGCCAATCATGTTCAAGTGTCACAGACAACGTGAACTGATCTATTACATGGATAGAGAGATTGATGGATAAATGACAAAGGGAAAAAAAAGAAAGAGGTAGACTGAGGAAGGAAATATATAATGAAAAGGGATTCTATTATTAACATTAGTGGACGTGGTCTGAATTGACTTCTACTGTAAAAATAACATAGAAAAAGAGGCTGCTCATGGTTATGGACAATAGGAGCATGTTCCTACATTGTCGCTGTGTTGCTGAATTGTCTCTTCCAGTATTTTCTATTTTAACTCCTAATAGTCTTACCAGCTCCTAATGGTCTATGTAGAGTTTGTGTGTTTTCTGTATTACTTGTGAAGAGTGAAAAGATTGAAAGACTGAGATATGCTTATATATGATATAGTTAATACTTTTTATGTTAGACAACCAATATTCACACTTATATGTCCCTGTGGATGGGGGCAGCAGCAAAACATATTTTAGCCACCTGAAAAAAGACCCACCTAAAAATAACAAGTGCGCTATATTTCAGATATTTTCAATACTTTACCTGTCAGACAGCCCGTTCTGAAGGGATATTTAAGCGTTTCTATCGCTCTCTCCCAACTGCTTTGGCAAAAAAAAAATAATAATAATTTTGCCTCATAGAACGATGAAGGAGTTGCTGGTCTACTGCTGCCTTGATCCACAGAAAATAACATTCGTTTGGATCCGATCTAATGTTTTAAAAAAACACCAAAGTCACACAATTACACAAACAAACTAACTGATTGAGTCAGTGGTGGACCAGCAACTCCAGTTTTAAATGTTAAATTAAATGTATTAAATTACTTTCTTTTTTTTTTTTTTTTTCAAAGGGGTCTGGCAGCTTTGAAGAGAACATGGAGTGATATAAACTCTTTAGTTTCCTGTCGGAAAGGGCTGCCTGTCAGCAAAGTAAAGTGGTGAAAATATTCCCACTATAGTGTACACTTCAATGATATGAATTCTCTTTTAACATCTGTGCTGGGACTCCTGTCTGCTTCTACTGTAGTTTATACACCAACTATGGATAAATACCTCATACAACTCCACTCCAAAAATCCAAACTATCCCTTTAATAGCAATTCTGATACGTAGCGCTCTAATATATTTCGTAATATAAGTGTTTTCAAGAGACTGAGGAATTCAGACGTATGCAACCGTGTCTGCGACCTACAGCAAACGCAGCCATATAGGGTCAAAATGCCACATGGGTGAGAGTGTGGGTTTTGTGTGTGTGAGTGTGTGTGTGTGTGTGTGTGTGTGTGTGGGGGGGGGTGGTGTGTGTGTGTGTGTGTGTGTGTGTGTGTGTGTGTGTGCTAGGGTGTTGTGTTCTCAGTAAGTGGTCTGTGATGTGTATCAGTGCAGTAGCCGTGGAAATCATGAGATCATACTTCTTAACTTCTTATCAGCTAGTTAGAATCAGCAGCAGCTGCGAAAACATAGACGCGAACAGCAAGACAGGCACACACACACCGTAAATAGACATACAAACTCTTAAAACCAGTACCCCTTCACACCTAATCTTCTCTTACAACACACACACACACACGAACAACTAAAAAAACAAAGCTGGAACGATCCCTATCTGTCTCAGACACTTTCAGCCAAATTCACACTTCTAGACCCATAAAAATAAAACCCAGCCACACAAACACAAATGTGCAAAAACATTTGTGTACACAAAGACACA